CACAGTTAAATAAAGATTTTCTTAAATGCACATAAAAAGCTTTCATTTACAATGCAATTTTTTTGCTAAAAGTTTTTTAGTGTTGATTTTTTTGTATTTTTTTCTGTTGCAATGTTTAATGAGTGTCAATAACCTGTAGTTGCCATGAATTTTTCTTGTACGATTTCAGTGTTTTTTTTTTATTGTTGTTGGTGTTGTTAGCTTGTTTTTCTCAAAAAACAATTGAAAATATATTTAAATTTTTATTGTAGTTGTCTTTTCCTTTTGTAGGGTTTGGTTAGTTTGTGCGTTTTTGTTTTGTTTTGTTTTTGTATTGGAAAAAGGGGGTAGAAATCGTTAATTTAAAGGTTATGCAACAGTACTTGTTGTTGTTGTTTGTGTGCAACTACTGTACAAAGAACTTTCTAGAAATTTCCATAGAGGATTCTTTTTTCTATAAGCAAGGAAATATGGTTTTTTAAAGGAATTCTGAATAAATAATTGAGAAAATATATATTTCGTTCTGAAAATGATTTGTGACAAACAATTAATAGGAAATGTAGTCAAATAGTCTTTACTACGGTTTCTAGCCTAGTCATATCGTAGTCTACAGTATAGTCTGTAGACTAGTCTATAGTCTAGTCTATAGTCTAGTCTATAGTCTAGTCTAGTCTATAGTCTAGTCTATAGTCTAGTCTATAGTCTAGTCTAGTCTAGTCTATAGTCTAGTCTAGTCTATAGTCTATAGTCTATAGTCTATAGTCTATAGTCTATAGTCTATAGTCTATAGTCTATAGTCTATAGTCTAGTCTAGTCTAGTCTAGTCTAGTCTAGTCTATAGTCTAGTCTATAGTCTAGTCTAGTCTATAGTCTAGTCTATAGTCTACAGTATAGTCTGTAGACTAGTCTATAGTCTAGTCTACAGTCTAGTCTATAGTCTAGTCTAGTCTAGTCTATAGTCTAGTCTATAGTCTAGTCTATAGTCTAGTCTATAGTCTAGTCTAGTCTAGTCTAGTCTAGTCTAGTCTATAGTCTAGTCTAGTCTATAGTCTAGTCTAGTCTATAGTCTAGTCTAGTCTATAGTCTAGTCTAGTCTATAGTCTAGTCTAGTCTATAGTCTAGTCTAGTCTATAGTCTAGTCTAGTCTATAGTCTAGTCTATAGTCTAGTCTATAGTCTAGTCTATAGTCTAGTCTAGTCTATAGTCTAGTCTATAGTCTAGTCTAGTCTAGTCTAGTCTATAGTCTAGTCTAGTCTATAGTCTAGTCTATAGTCTAGTCTATAGTCTAGTCTATATGTCTAGTATAAAGTCTAGTCTATAGTCTAGTCTAAAGTCTAGTCTATAGTCTAGTCTATAGTCTAGTCTATAGTCTAGTCTAGTCTATAGTCTAGTCTATAGTCTTGTCTATAGTCTAGTCTATAGTCTAGTCTATAGTCTAGTCTAGTCTAGTCTATAGTCTAGTCTATAGTCTAGTCTATAGTCTAGTCTATAGTCTAGTCTATAGTCTAGTCTATATTCTAGTCTATAGTCTAGTCTATATTCTAGTCTATAGTCTAGTCTATAGTCTAGTCTATAGTCTAGTCTATAGTCTAGTCTATAGTCTAGTCTATAGTCTAGTCTATAGTCTAGTCTATAGTCTAGTCTATAGTCTAGTCTATAGTCTAGTCTATAGTCTAGTCTATAGTCTAGTCTATAGTCTAGTCTATAGTCTAGTCTATAGTCTAGTCTATAGTCTAGTCCTATAGTCTAGTCTATAGTCTAGTCTATAGTCTAGTCTATAGTCTAGTCTATAGTCTAGTCTATAGTCTAGTCTATAGTCTAGTCTATAGTCTAGTCTATAGTCTAGTCTATAGTTCTAGTCTATAGTCTAGTCTATAGTTTAGTCTATAGTCTAGTCTCTAGTCTAGTCTATAGTCTAGTCTATAGTCTAGTCTATAGTCTAGTCTATAGTCTAGTCTATAGTCTAGTCTATAGTCTAGTCTATAGTCCTAGTCTATAGTCTAGTCTATAGTCTAGTCTATAGTATAGTCTATAGTATAGTCTATAGTCTAGTCTAGTCTAGTCTATAGTCTAGTCTATAGTCTAGTCTATAGTCTAGTCTATAGTCTAGTCTATAGTCTAGTCTATAGTCTAGTCTATAGTCTAGTCTATAGTCTAGTCTATAGTCTAGTCTATAGTCTAGTCTATAGTCTAGTCTATAGTATAGTCTATAGTCTAGTCTAGTCTATAGTATAGTCAGTAGTCAAGTCTATAGTCTAGTCTATATATAGTCTAGTCTATAGTCTAGCCTATAGTCTAGTCTATAGTCTAGTCATTAGTCTAGTCTATAGTCTAGTCTATAGTCTAGTCTATAGTCTATTCTATAGTCTAGTCTTTTATAATCTAGTCTGTAGTCAAGTCTATAGTCTAGTCTATAGTCTAGTCTATAGTCTAGTCTATAGTCTAGTCTAGTCTAGTCTAGTCTAGTCTATAGTCTAGTCTATAGTCTAGTCTATAGTCTAGTCTATAGTCTAGTCTATAGTCTAGTCTAGTCTATAGTCTAGTCTATAGTCTAGTCTATAGTCTAGTCTATAGTCTAGTCTATAATCTAGTCTATAGTCTAGTCTATAGGCTGGTTTATAGTCCGGTCTGTAGTCTTCTTTATATTCTAATATATAGTCTAATCTAGTCTAGTCTATAGTGTAGCCTATAGTTTAGCCTTTAGTCTAGTATATAGTCTAGTCTATAGTCTAGTCTATAGTCTAGTCTATAGTCTAGTCTATAGTCTAGTCTATAATCTAGTCTATAGTCTAGTCTATAGTCTGGTTTGTAGTCCGGTCTTCTTCTTTATATTCTAATATATAGTCTAATCTATTAGTATAGTCTAGTCTACAGTATAGTCTATAGTTTAGTTTATGGTCTGGTTTATAGTCCAGACTACAGGCTAGTCCATATTTTAGACTATAGTCTAGCTTATAGTGTAGTTTGTAGTTTAGTATATTGTGTATATTCAAGTTTCTAGGCTAGTCTTTAGTATAGTCTTCAGTCTATCTTAAGTCCAGTCTAAAGTCTCACCTCTAGTCTGGTCTTAAAGCTAGTATTTGGTCTAGTCTATTTTCCCGTATGTTTGAGAAACCTCTGACAGTTTTCATTCGATATCAAACGAAAGTTATATAGTAACTCCAATAAATGACTACTTAACAGTTTTGTTTCAAAATCGAGCTTCAATTTCAAAATGTCAATACTTTTGTTCAACAAAATGTAAATATTCTCATAAATCAAAGAGTCATTTAACTGTAAATGATGGTCACGCGCTAAACTGTTCAACAACCTTTAAAAATATGTACAAAATTAAAAAAAAAAAAATGAAAACAAACTTAAAGCTAATTTGCTTATAAATCAAAATAAATTGCGAAAAACAAAATTCCTTTAAAAAATTTAACTATAAAAAAACCAAAGTATTTAAATAATTGTATGCTCAGTGTCTACAATAAAATGCTCTACCAAAAGGCATCTGTTTTCTAAAATGATTATTTAGACAAATTGTTTGTTTGTATGGTATACAATAAAATCTGTGTTAATTTAATATAAAGAGGCTTTTTTAAATTAATAAACACAAGCAGATTTATAAGTAAATAGAAAATGAAAACGAATATATATAGGCCTCTTTCCAATTTTTTTTTCAAAAATTTTTCCACCTTTAATAAAAATATTTTTTTTTTAATAAACTACATGTACTTGAAAAAGTTTATTGCACGTTTAACCAATACAATCTATGTAATTATTCGTGTTTATAATAAACAGATTTTAAGAGATTCTTTTCATTATTAATAGTTTTATTTTAGGGATTATTTAAAATATTAAAGGAAATGAGGTATTAAAATTTATTAAATAATGTTCTTTTTCATTTTTTAGTTAAAGAATTATAAGCATATGTTAAAAACTTTTGATTTTATAAATTATTTAGGGGGTTGATTGTGTTAAATTATTACAATGACTGAGTATGTGTTTTATTTGGTCAATGAAATTTGGCAAAATATCAAGTTTAACGAAACCATTTGTAGATAAATGAAAAGGTTTAATTTGTTAGCTTCGAAATACTATAGTTCAATAGAAGAAGGTGCAAAATATGATAAAAGATAATAATCTCTATTAGTCTAAAGTCTATATTCTATTCTATAGTCTAGTCTATAATATATTCTATAATCTAGTATATAGTCGACTCTATAGTCTAGTTTGGTATATGGTGTAATCTATATTATAGTCTATATAGTCTTCTTGTTGTCTTGTCTATATACTAAGCTAGTCTACAGTCCAAGTGTTCTAAAATTTTGTAGAGTCTTCCTATTTTACGTCAGTTATTTATTGTGCCCACAAGAAATTCGACGAGACAGATAATTTTTATCATAATCTAAGAATCGATTTAAAAAATTCTTAATAAATTAATTTAATTCTATTATTTATAGCCGCCCTATACAAGTTTCAAATAAACAGCAAAATAAACAAATAAATAAAAAAAAAACTGAACAAAAAATATCACACAATTAACAATTTTAAATATAGAAAAAGATATTAATTAAACTAAAAAGTTTAAGTAAAATGAATCATTTATTTGTTATAAATAAAACTCTGACAAGAAACCCAGTAAGAAATTTGTCATAAATTATGAATATTTGGTTCAGATAATCTACTTTAATTTGATATAACTTTATATTGCTGGGTTATTATTAAATATTGCTAATTATAATAATTATTGTTTATAAAACGCTTTTCAACTTTCAGGAATAAAAATAGCCGGGGAATTGTTTTGTTTAAACAATTGTTAAAAATTATAAATAGCAAATACAATAATAAAAAAACTGATTAAAATTATCTTGTAATTTTGTTCTAAATGTTTTGCGTCAATTGCCGCCACAAAATGTAAGTGGGTTTTAAAAAAATAAAAAAACTTTCCAATTTATTTATAAAAAAATAATTGGTTTGGGAAACCTACAAAATTTTATTATAATTTCAAAGAATATATTATGGATTTCAACACTTACCTTTCACGCAATGGCATTAAAATGCCAGCACCCATACTGGACACCTTCATTGGTATCTTAACACTATCGGAATCACTGCCACTTTCTGCACCCGAGCCACCACTACCGCCAGCTGTTTGAAGCTGACATTGAGCTTGATGTTGTTTGTTATTTTGGTGTTGATATTGTCTTTGATAATTATTAGTTTTACCATTACAAATAGTATTGCCATTGCCCTGTTGACGACCGCTTGAATTGGGTCTTTTAGCATTGCGTTTCTCTTGACCAGATACAGGTGTTTGTTGACCTGTAGCTGAGACTGGTGCCGCTGCTGCTGCTGCTTTTGCTGCTGCCATAGATACTTTATCAAATGCTTTGTAACCTCCATCGCTTTTAGCGTTAACGGTTTGTGCATTTATCAAGTTGTAACCCATATTTTCAGTTTCACTAAAATGCCCATCACCATCCGCACTACCGGCATCATCACTTCCAATACTGCCAGAGACCAAAACATCCATATGGTTTTCATCAATACCCAAGGGCCCAACTGACAGTTGTAGTATACCTGCAGCTGGTGGCGGCGGCTGTGATTGTCCACTAATGCTGCCATTGCGCTGTTGATGTTGCTGCTGATGCTGTTGATGATAGAAACCCTTTTGATAGAATTGCTGCGAATGATTATTGTTGTTGCAATTGTTGTATTGATGCCCGAATAATTCCACTCCCACAATATTAATATGGCTGCCACTATCAAATCCTCCTTCTTCTCCTCCTCCACTTGTTGTACAGACGCTAACGCCTCCGCCGCCACCACCGCTGCCGGTAAGTACGTTTTCGTTGACGCCTCCTTCAAATCTTCCTTTGCCACCAGTGCTAGTACCTGCACGTAATCTTGCCGACGTTGCGTTATTTGTTGCACCTGTGCCACAGATGCCAATTGTTGCTCCAAATTTAGTATCCCGATGTGTGCCATCTAATGAAATATTCGATAGAAACGAGATCGCAGCCAGTCTGCGCCTGTGTCTCGTTTTATTGAACGAACTACTTGCCATTAGGCAGTAACAATTGCTTATAGATGCTTTTTTCGTGTAAAACAGCCGACGGAGAGAAAACTTCACACGGTGTTTTAATTTACAAAAATTACAAAAAAAGTTTTTTCTTTTTATAAAAAAAAGTTTTAAATTTAAATGCTTTTTAAATTTGTGCGCTGATTTTTTTATATTAAGATTTAAACACTTTTTAATACAATTTATTAAAGGAGCGTGACTTACAACGATCGTGTTTAAATTACTCTTGTATTCTCTCTTGGTTGGTACTCTTTTTAAGGAGACTTTTTGCTCTCTTGGTTAAAAATCTTGCGTTTAAATTATGTGGAGTTTTAGCTAAATGCTGGATCAAATTTCTTTTTAAATTTACAAATTGTGTTTTCTTGCTTAGAAAATTTTATTGATTTTTTAATAAACTTTTTAATAGATTTTCAATAATTTGGTATTTTAATGTAAAGAGAGTGTTGGTGCTGTTTTTTGCAAGTTTCTTTAAAGAAACTTGTGTGGCTTTAAATCTTTGGTTGTGAATTTATATTACAGCTGTCAAAAGGTCTTGATCAACCAATATCACATAAACTTTATAGTCTTTAAATTAGAATTAAAATTACTACTAAATTTTAAACTTAAACGCGACATCTTGAATGATTTTTTCAAACAAACACTTGACAAGAAGTAAGAAAATGCACAAAAAATTAAATTGGTTAAAGTTGATTTTGTTAAGTTTTTTTGTAATTATTGATTATTGTGTTTTTTTGTAAGTTTTGGTTTAAAAATTCAGTTGCCGCTGTTGTTAATGCAAACGTCTGTCTGCTAGCAGGTTTCAATATGATTTGCCGGAAAATTCTGGAAATATAGAAAATATATAAAGAAAATAAATATCTGTGTATGAGTGTGTATGTATGTATAAACATATATTGAGCAAAGTTAGTGTGTGTGTGTATAATAACGTGGTATGGAAGTGGAAGTAGATAAAATAGAAATATAAAAGTGCATAATGTAACTGAAAAAAAGAAATATGTAGAAACGTACAATTCATACTCTTGTATACTTAAAGATAAAGCTAGATAAACTATGCAGTCAGAGAGACCCCACATTAAAGAAAAAAATAAAACTACTACAAACCGGGTAGTTGGTAGGCAGTCTGCTTGCATTTGCACTATTTGATAGCAAAACTGCGAAATAAAGTGAGAGCATAAAGGAAACAAAGTAGTTTGTAGGAGAAGCAAAGCTTTTAAACAGCCGGTTAAAGGATTCATGAATGGGTTCTAAAAATGTAAACAAGAGTTGTTTACTTTAAAAGAGAGCAAGCTTAAAGCTGCATCTCTTTTATGTAATACTCTTTTATTTAGAAAACTATACTATATATTGCACTGTAATGCTGGGAAGTTTAATAGAGTTAAAGCTTTAGGATTCTTTTAACTAAAATGGGTGGTTTTAGGGTTAAATTTAAAATAATATGAACACTTTTAATTAAATTTTTATGCATAATGCTGTAGTTCTTAAAATATTTAGTTTTATTCTTAAATAGAGATTTCTAATCGATTTTCAACAATAAACACTGTTTTCTTCAATAGAAGAGAGTGAACCAGGAATTCATCGCCCGACTGCAGGATTGCGAAACATTAAAGAGTAATATTACTTGATTTCAAGTTATTCCGGACGTGCGGATTTTCTTGCGAATATTGGCATTTCACAAACAAGAGAAGAGATCAACAGGTACAAATGTTCAATCTGTGATTAACTTTTCGATCATGCATAAATCACCTGCATAATGGCGATGATCAGTTGGTCAGTAGTTTATAGTCCAAGAGCTCTGCTATAGAACGCAATTGCAGCGGTTGTTTACAAGTCATTTTAGAACTGCCTATATCTTTGCGTATTACCTTGACAATATTGGCATTTCACAAGCAGGAGAAGAGATCAACAGATACAAATGCTCGATCCGTGATTAAATCTTCGAGCATGCACAATCAACAGAAATCACGTGGTCGTACAACCCACTACGATCATAAGCCCGGATTATCGTCAAGAGTTTTGCTATATAACACAATTCCAACGATTATTGGCAACTGGTCTTATGAGCTTCACGTTAGAAGGTTGAATCTTCTGAGAATCTTCCTGCAGTCTGATGCTCTCTCTTTATAATATCACAAAGGGATCAATTAGATGGATTCAGTGATGTGATATACTCATTCTGATAACCTAGTCTAACCATTCTTTCTACTAACTTTGTGTTACGTTGCTCTTTGTATTTCCCTTAATAAAGTATTCTGTCACTATGCTCATGGATGTCATAACGTCCATGACCACTCTTTCTATTTAATAAATTTATGGATTATGCTATTTTTTCAATATTCCCATTCTCAATTCTATACCCTGTTTAAAAGAGCTTTTTCTCAGACAATTTTTTTTTAAACAATGTGAACATAATATGAATAACCCAAACAATTGTTAACTAAAGTTGGCAACAGTTTGTTTTAACATTTATATTAAAGTATTTACACTTTAATGCCAATTGATTGTTTTTTTTTTCTTTCTTCCCAGTAACAAAGTCTTAAAAAGTATACAATACTCAAGAGACTTAACGGCGTGTTATATTTTTTTCCAGATGCCGGTTACAATTTTTGTAATGCATTTTGCTTCTTTTTTTTTTTTTTTTTTTTTGTATTACTATGGCAAAAATTTTCCAAAAAAAAAAAACAGTTGTTTATATTACACATGCATATATTCACAACGAATGGAGAGTGGTTACAGACATATTGTATATTTTTGAAATGTATGAGTATGAGTATTGTGTGTGTTTCCATTCTATACCCTCATTTTTGCCGGTTTCTAAGCATTTGTTGTCGTGCATTTTTATTATTTTCTAAATAAAATAAATATTTCATTCTAAATTATAAGAAAGAAATGTATAATAATAATGCCGGTGTTATATTTATTTAGATTGGTATTGTTTGCTTGTAATGAGTTGCGTTTTAGAATCTATTTTAGGAGCTTAAACATTGACTGAGCTATTATGAATCATATATTGTTAAGGTAAAGTAGTCTAAATATACATATAAAAAGTTAGTGAGAAATAGTTTTAAGTTTTATTACTTTATATTTTACGCTTTAAGTTAAATTAAACAAGATAAAGTTTGCAAAAAGTTAAGAAATTTTAAATTGCCATTTAAATTATTAAAATTTTCATAAAAAATGGAATGTTATAAATATTTTATTACAAATTTTAGGAATATTTTTTGAAAAGAAACTTTAGAATATAATGAATTAAGAGAAAATTTTCAATAAAAATTTTGTTTAAAAGAAAATTTTCACAGAAAACTGTTAAATAGAAAATTGTTTAAAATTTTTAAAATAAAACTTTGTTCAATAGAAGATTATCACATTTATTCACTCAATAAATGATTTTTAAATTTCCTTCAATCGAACATCATCTTAAAATATTTTGTTCAAAGGAAAACTTTTAATGAAAATTTTGCTTAGAAGAAGTTTTTCACTGAAAAATTTGTTCAATTAAAGTTTTTTAGTAAAAATTTCGTTCAATGGAAAAACTTTTTTTTAAAAATTTTATTTTAAAGAAAACTTTTAATGAACATTTTCTTAGAAGAAGTTTTTCACTGAAAAATTTTATTCAATGAAAGTTTTTTAGTAAAAATTTCGTTTAACATTTTTCTATTAAACGAAATTTCTTTAAATATTTTGATCAAAAGAAAACTTTTAATGAAAATTATCTTTCCATAGGTGTTCTTCACCGAAAATTTTGTTCAAAAAAAGTTTTTTTAGTAAAAATTTCATTCAATAGAATTTTTTTTTTAAATATTTTCTTTAAAGGGAAACTTTTAATGAAAATTTTGTTCAATAAAAGCTTTCCAAAAAAAATTTTGTTCAATAAAACTTATTATTACAATAGAAAATTTTCATGGAATATTTTGTTCAAACTTGTAACGAAAATTTTGTTTAGAAGAAATTCTTCAAAATCCTTAAAACCTAATTATCAAAAACCACTTATTAATTCATATAAACAATATTTACCCTTTTCCTTAGAACTCATATCACAAACTCCTTGCTTCCAATAAATCACTCCATTTTGTTTAATTCATTGCAAAACACTTAACTTTTTGAAAAATTATAAAAATTTTTAAACAATTTTATTAAAATTAAATTAGAAAATAATTTAATTAATAACAGCTCCATTAAATGCAAATTTCACAAACGTTTATTAAGAATTACAACTTTCAAAATCTTGCAAAATTTGTATGTGTAAAGAAAACCTTTTTACTTCAACTTTTCAATTCAAACTAAGGAGTTCTTATTACAACTCCAAAGTATTTATACCCAACAAATAATATTATGAAAACGAAAAAAAAAAAAATATTTCTAAAAAAGAGATTTCATTTAACAAAAAGTCTACATGCATTCATACATTACGATCGTTTAAGTTTGTTTAGATTTTGGTTGGTTGTTTTCAATCTCGTACGATCGTCGATCGTTAGTTTAGTAGGTAGAGAGCCGGCAGTAAGAAGAAAATAAAAAGCACAAACAACAATCACTACAGAGTTTTATAGTGATATCTAAAGAGTGTCTCTTTTTATATAGAATATTCAATAGTAGTGGTAGTAGTAGTTGAAGTGCTGTAGCTGGTTTTGATTTACTTTCAGTCAAGAGCTACCTCACACTAACTTACTCTTTTCATTCAACTAAGAATTACGAAATGAAGACATAAAAAAAATTGTGGACAAAAAAAACCTATTTCATTTTTGTAAACAAAGATATTAGCAAAGCAAAATATGAAAAACAAAATAAAAAACTAAATATGCTTAAATTGTAAACAAAATTATGAAAAAAAAGAAACTTAATTCTGGTTAAAAAATACTTTAAAAATATAGCAATTATGTTGTCAGGTTTTAGGAAGGAAAAAATAATTCAACCTAAATAGAATTTGGAAATATTATGATGCCATACTTTCTAAGAACTACTCTAGAAGGTTTCTCTGTTTGACCGCCACTTTTTCTATAGAAAATGTATAGAAAAGTTGTGTATTTCAGGGCCACTTTTTCTATAGAAAAGTTGTTTGTTTAATAGTCAGTTTTCCTATAGAAAAATTTTTTTCTATAGAAAAGTTGTCTGATTGACAGAGAAACTTTTTCAATAGAAATGTCCTGTATGTAATATATTTTTTATAGAAAAGTGGTATGTCACAAGTAACTTTTTGTATAGGAAAGTTGTGTGTTTGACAGCAACTTTTTCTATAGAAAAGTTGTGTGTTTGACAACAACTTTTTCTATAGAAAAGTTGTGTGTTTGACAGCAACTTTTTCTATAGAAAAGTTGTGTGTTTGACAGCAACTTTTTCTATAGAAAAGTTGTTTGTTTGACAGCAACTTTTTCTATAGAAAAGTTGTGTGTTTGACAGCAACTTTTTCTATAGAAAAGTTGTGTGTTTGACAGCAACTTTTTCTATAGAAAAGTTGTGTGTTTGACAGCAACTTTTTCTATAGAAAAGTTGTGTGTTTGACAGCAACTTTTTCTATAGAAAAGTTGTGTGTTTGACAGCAACTTTTTCTATAGAAAAGTTGTGTGTTTGACATCAACTTTTTCTGTAGAAAAGTTGTTTGTTTGACAGTAACTTTTTCTATAGAACGGTTGTGTGTTTGACAGCAACTTTTTCTATAGAACGGTTGTGTGTTTAACAGCAACTTTTTCTATAGAACGGTTGTGTGTTTGACAGCAACTTTTTCTATAGAAAAGTTGTGTGTTTGACAGCAACTTTTTCTATAGAAAAGTTGTGTGTTTGACAGCAACTTTTTCTATAGAAAAGTTGTGTGTTTGACAGCAACTATTGTCTAGGACTTGTTTTTTAATATTTATTTTTGCTAAATAAAACAATAACAACCCACTACTTATTATATCATGATAACAAATTTAAAAATGACGTATTTCAATGACAAGCCAAAAAAAACTTTTTGTTGCTAATTTAAAAAATAGATGTAAAAACTAATTTATTTTGAGAAATTCGTAAAAAAAATAAAGAAAAATTGCATGAATGAAAACGACAAATGTAATTGTGCCAAAAAATTTCAATTTGTATTTATTAATATGATTGTAATAAAAAATAAGTAAATTAAAATAAAAAATGTATTAATTAGTTTAAAAAATATGTACATTTTTAGTGAAATGTCTCAATAGAACAAAATTTTTGTCTTAAACAAAAATTTCGAATAAAATTTTATATTGTACAGCATTTGAAGCATAAATTTCTCTATTCAACAATCATGGTATTGTACTTTTTCTATAGTGTAAATATTTTAAAACTTTTAAAATAAAAATATTCTAAAATATTAATCCCCAATTCTCAAACATAATTGACAAAGTTCTTTATAGGGTTTTAATAAAAATACTGTTTATATTTTGGATTTTCCGAAATTTCTAATGGGTTTTCTTAAAATTCTAATCTAGCAAAGAATATCCAAAATGTGCCTCATACTTTTATTTTGGGATACTGATTCAAAACATTCCAAAAAGTCTGTATCAAATGTTGATATTTTGAACACCACACCAAGAATAATTGCAACAACATCAAGTTAGTCATATAACGCTGCTACCAGTCAGCCTGCCTGCCATTCATCTCGATAAAAAACAAGACAATAAAAACATTGTCCAATAAGAATGAGAATGACTACACATCACGTGACCATGAAAACAATACGATGGCAAAGGAAAAATACAAGAAAATCTGTAAAGTAACTAATAAACCGGCTTTCAAAATTCTGCCAAGAAAAACCCCGACATAATAAACAAAATAAAGAAAATTCAGGAAAACATGCCAGCAGGCGATGTAAGCTAGAAAGAGAAAAGGCTACACAGAAAAAAGGAAGTGAAAATTGTGGAAATTATATGAGGAAAATCGATTACTGCCTAGTCTAGGTAATGAAAACAAAAATATACTAAATTAATAATGAAAACAAAGGATTTATTTGTAACCATAAGGCATATTTAGCAATTTAACTTACCTTAGTTATTATATTTTTTTATTAATAATTTCCAAATTTTGTTAACAAATTTTGGTTTTTTACAAGTGTTTCAAACGTACCATTTTGGCAAATAAATTTTTATAAATTTAATTTAAGCAATATAATAAAACAAAACACTGCACTTTTCTTTTAAAAATAAAAGTTAAAAATTTTATATTTTTTTCTTTATAACAGGAAAATTACTTTTGTAACCAGTCGCAGAACATTTCTTATTTGCTTAAGCTTTGTATGTAAAATGACTCGTTTATTTTCTGGATTTTCTTTAACTTGATGATGAATTTTATATTTTTTGCTTTATACGCTTTTATGGTTATATATTTTTTTAATTTTATCTTTTACTTTGTTGTATATGTGATGTGTGTTTGCTTGGAGTGCTGGTTGGTTGGTGGAGGTTCTGCAAGTTGCGTAAAAAATTTCCGATTTTTTGCTAAACTTATTTATTTGTTTAATATTTTGCTAATTTTTCATTTAATTTATTTTACAATAAACTTTATTATTTATTTTAATAGATTATTTAAATTTTTAACAAATTTTCACGCGTTTAATGGTATTACTCGTCAAATTATAACTCGCCTGTGGAAAAATATAAAATAAAGTGAAAAATTTTTCTTATTTTTGTTCATTTGTTGTTTTTGACAGTTCTCTTTTACTCATACAATGTTGCTTACTATCTCAAAGAAAGAAAATTTTCGTAAGCTTAAAAATCGCTTAAATTTTATTATAGCGGTAAAATGTCCTCTTTAATTATTTACTTTTTATAAGAGAACAGACATAAATGTTTACATATATTATTTTAATGTTATTAGTAAATAAAATTATATTACTACATCTTATAATAAAATAATTAACATTTTTACTGTTTTATTGCAGTTTAACTACGACAAAAGAGTTTTTAAGATTTCGTTTTCCAACACTATGTGAAAATAAATGAGAAGCACTATTTACAGTTTGAAAATCATTGCTGTCAAACAGCTGTTAAATATTTGTTAACAGCTGTCGGCCTTTGACAGCTAAACGTTTTATTTTTTGTTTGCAGCGTCTTTTACAAGAAATTTTCGTAAAATTTATAAAAATTTCTAAAAACTATTTAATAAAAATAACAAAAATTTATTAAATATCTCTGCTTTAATATGAGCAACAATGATGTAGGCTCTTTGGCCATGGAAATAGATTTTGTAAGAACAAATATTTTCACTTTAAAAAAACTATTACTCACATGTGTTTTTCCCTTTTTCACCATGGAACTCTAGCCCGAGGAGGATGTTCCCTATGAGGAGGAGATTTTGCGTAATGCCTACTCTGTCAAACACTGGTTACGTTATATTGATCACAAAGCCAAGGCGCCCAATAATGCTGTCAATATTGTTTACGAAAGAGCGCTAAAGGAACTGCCCGGCAGTTATAAGATATGGTACAACTATTTACGTACACGAAGGAAGCAAGTACGTGGTAAATGTATTACCGATCCCATGTATGAGGAAGTGAATAATACTTTTGAACGAGCTTTGGTGTTTATGCATAAAATGCCTCGCATTTGGATGGATTATGGTTTATTCATGACATTGCAGTGTAAGATTACACGCACCCGGCATGTTTTTGATCGTGCTCTAAGAGCTCTGCCTATTACCCAACATCATCGTGTATGGCCTTTGTATTTGAAATTTGTGCAAAAATTTGATATTCCCGAAACGGCGGTGAGAATCTTTAGACGTTATTTAAAATTGGCTCCGGATGATGCTGAGGAGTATATAGAGTATTTGCTGAGTGTGGGACGTTTAGATGATGCTGCCCAGCAGTTGGCTAGTATAGTGGACAATGAACATTTTGTTTCTAGGCAGGGCAAATCGAATCATCAGCTTTGGAATGAGTTGTGTGATTTGATATCGAAAAATCCGGATAAAGTACATTCCCTAAATGTGGATGCCATTATAAGAGGAGGCCTGAGAAGGTAAGTGGGCAAAAAATCGTTGAGTCTTAATATAATATTTTAATTTTTTTCCAGATACACCGATCAATTGGGACACTTGTGGAATTGTTTAGCCGATTATTATGTTCGTTCTGGTCTCTTTGATAGAGCTCGTGATATTTACGAGGAAGCCATACAAACGGTGAGAACCGTACGTGATTTTACCCAAGTTTTCGATGAATACGCTCAATTTGAGGAATTGTCCTTAAACAAACGCATGGAGTTTGTGGCAAATGATCCTAATGCTACCGAAGAAGACGACATAGATGTAGAATTGCGCTTGGCACGTTTTGAACATCTTATGGAAAGACGTCTCCTGTTGCTGAACAGTGTTCTATTGCGTCAAAATCCTCACAATGTACACGAGTGGCATAAACGTGTTAAATTGTATGAAGATAAACCTCATGAGATCATCAATACCTACACTGAGGCTGTGCAAACAGTGCAACCTAAATTGGCTGTGGGTAAACTTCACACTTTATGGATAGAATTTGCGAAATTCTATGAATCCAATGGTCAGGTGGAAGATGCTCGTGTGGTATTTGAACGGGGCACTGAGGTGGAATATGTTAAGGTAGAAGATTTAGCCAGTGTTTGGTGTGAATGGGCTGAAATGGAAATTCGGCAGGAGAATTTCGATGCAGCCCTTAAACTCATGCAAAAGGCTACGGTTATGCCTAAACGCAAGGTAGCCTACCACGATGACACAGAAACTGTGCAAATGCGCCTATACAAATCGTTAAAGGTCTGGTCCATGTATGCTGATTTGGAAGAATCATTTGGCACCTTTAAGACTTGCAAGGCTGTCTATGATCGTATAATAGATTTGAAAATCTGTACACCACAAATCATCATTAACTATGGTCTGTTCTTGGAAGAGCACAATTACTTTGAGGAGGCCTTTAGAGCTTATGAAAAGGGTATTGCTCTCTTTAAATGGCCTAATGTTTACGATATATGGAATGCTTATCTCACCAAATTCCTTAAACGGTATGGTGGTTCTAAACTGGAAAGAGCTAGAGATTTATTTGAACAATGTTTGGAAAATTGTCCTCCAGAACATGCCAAATATTTCTATTTACTTTATGCCAAATTGGAAGAAGATCATGGTTTGGCCCGGCATGCCATGGCGGTATATGATAGAGCTACTAGTGCTGTCAAGCCTGAAGAAATGTATGACATGTATAATATATTTGTTAAAAAAGCAGCAGAGATTTATGGTCTGCCTCGCACTAGAGAAATCTATGAGAAGGCTATTGAATGTTTACCCGAAGAAAATATGCGTCATATGTGTGTAAGATTTGCTGAAATGGAAACTAAATTGGGAGAAATAGACAGAGCGAGAGCGATATATGCACATTGTTCACAGGTTAGTTTTAAATTAGATTTTTAGTAGAAATGTATATTAACATAAATTTCTTTTTTTTAAGGTCTGTGATCCCCGCATTACTGCTGACTTTTGGCAAACCTGGAAAGAGTTCGAGGTTAGACATGGTAATGAAGATACCATGCGTGAAATGTTGCGTATCAAACGTTCTGTACAGGCCACTTATAATACCCAGGTTAATATGATGGCTGCCCAATATATAGCCAACAATACACCAGCCGATGCTGCCGGCGGTGATGCTATGCGTATGCTGGATGCCAAAGCAGCCGAAGCAAATAACCAACAAAAAGATAAACTACCACTCAAACCACAATCATCCACAGCCTCAAATATTATGTTTGTACGAGGCGAAACACAAGGTGGTTCTGCTAAAGATAAAGTTGTTAATCCCGATGAAATTGATATTGGCGACAGTGATGAAGACGAAGATGAGGATATGGATGATGATGATGAGGAAAATAATGAAACTAATGATGCACAAAAAGTCACACGTAGAGATGAAAATGATGTGATAATGAAGAAGTTGAAAATAGAACAAAAGTCTATACCATCTAAAGTGTTTGGCGGTTTAAAACCTGCTAATAATGATGAGGACGATGATGATTGAAGAGTGTTATTATAAAAGGAAATATATATAAAAAAGATTTATTATAAAGTGCAAGTTATGTTTGTGAAGAGTGTTGAAGTGTTTATTAAGTTTGGATTTCTAGTGTGAATTATATATAGATTTTTGGCAACCTTCAAATTATTAACACAAATCCCCAATTACAATTAATTTTTGTTATCAATAAAGTTTACGCTCAGTATGTCTAGCAAGCTTGGATACCTTGGTTTTTCATCGCCTTTAAATTAACAGCAAAATTTAAGCCAACTTAAAGTTAGCTTTATTTTTTGCAACCCCACAATTAATTTTTGTTTTTTCAATAAATTTTATGCTCATTTCGGTTAAGTTTTTGTTGCCATATAGTTTCTTTTCTTGTTTTTAGTTATTGTTGTTAACATTTGTTAAAAGTTTTTGTTGTTGTTTTTGTGTGTTTTGTTTTATATTTATGTTTTCCTACAAATGTTGTTTTGTCTTGGTTGTTAGTTCTGTATGTGTGTGTGTGTGTATGATGTATGTATGTTCACATGTCTCACAAATTAACCTAAATCTCAGCCATAGAACATGGCGGTTGACATGCATATTAAAACGTTGCCACTGCTTTAATAACAAAATGTACATGTGCTGTGTCTTTGTGGCCATGGATGTGTATATGAGTCTATGATGATGATGATGAGTGCATAAGTGTATAGAATATGCAGCTGATGCTGTTGCTTGTGCTTAAAATCTCTGTACAAGACAAGCCGCAAATTATGCAACTACAACAAGTAAAGCACATTCTAGCCAATATACCGATCTATGAATGTGTGTTTGTACACAAAACTACTCTACCAAAAAAGACATTTAGCAAAAAATACACATGTAGTTGTTAGGAATTGTATTATAAAGTACAGTGGATATACTTGTGGAATATATTGTTCCTGCTGGAATGTTATGAAGCAGATGTAGTTTTTATTTTGAGAGTCGATCACAGCACACTTTTAGGGACTCTCATTTTATGGGTATTTTCAACATAAGCTAAAATTCCTATCCCCCTAAAACTTTTGTATAGACTTTTTCCAAAATTTGTTTGCTAGCAAGATAGCGCCAATCATCCCACTGTGCAATGTCATTAAAAAGCTGGTGATGATGATGGTGGTGATGTTTTCATGGTTCTTCTACTTCTGCTGTTGATAGCGACATGTTAACATTGTAATACATTGTTGCATCAAGAAAATAATGAAAGATAAAAGTTAAACAGGCTGGGAAAAAGAAAGAAATAAAATTTCCACTCCTATTCACACATACACACAGATACAGACACCATTCTAACATAAACATAAAAAGGTAAACAAGAAAATCTGTAAACAAAGTTGTTTTTTTTTCCTTTCAACTTTTTCTTCTTTTCATATTTGCTGCTACTCGACTCTGCTTAGTTGTTGTTTTAAATGAGGCAAAACATTTGCTTTTGTTGCTTGAAAATTAAGTCGTGAAGCTCCAAATGAAGTGTAGAGGAATAATGATTTTTTTGCCGTTCATCTTAAAACATTAAAAAATTCATGCATATTTCTACGTAATTTTAAATCTTTGTTTGAGAAATTTTCTGTATGAAAACATGACAATGTATTGTTAACTTCCGTTTCCTTTTTTATGAGCTTCATAACTGTTTCAACAC